AAAACACATTGCCAGTTTCTTTAGTTTAAACAGACAGAATACCCTATTGAAGTTATGAAAAAACACACTAATGAATAGTAAAAATTACTACTACAATTTTTATACTGGGTTGATATCAAGGGGAGAGAAGAAATGGAAACAAAAATTAGCTCTGTTGAAAAAAGTTAGAACATTATTGTAGATTCTGGTCATTCAAAGCAAGGAAACTGGCTTTGTATCAAACAAACAAAAATGTCAGTAGTATTTTAAACAAAATTTAGTAAAATCAGTCTATTTGGTTCTTTGTGGAAAATATTTACCCACTGTCAAAAGTTCAATCAATTAGAATCTGTTGATAGCTGTTACTAGAACCAAAAAAAAAGTTGTGTTTTTTCTTTTATTTTCTTCAGTATGTCTGCAAATACCAGACTATTAAATATAGTATGGCAAGACAATGACTAACACACCCACTTTACACACATATCAAATGCATATTATCAAAAAACTTTTTTTACATGTTTAAAAAAATCAAGCTTAACAGTTGTGTTCATGCCAAAGGTTTACCTTTTTCCAAGTGTTAATGCTTACTTCCCAATTTTACTTTACTATGTATATCAAATTAGACAAATTGATCTGAATGCTTTCATCAGAGGGAAAAGAAGAAATTTTGTGGAGTGTCTCAGGAGCTCTACTGAGGTTCCACAAAACTTCCTTCAATGAACCAAATGACAAGCTACCGAACTGCATTTCAATTTAGAATTCTGGGAAGCTTTGTCACAAATATGAAGAAGAAAAAAATAGCAGCAAAGACAATCTGAATTACGTGAAAGCTCCAGTTTAGTTCAGTAGGACAATGTTGACATTCATCCACAGCCTTTTAGTTTTCCTGTTTTCCTTATTTCATAACTAGAGACTCTTAAAAAAAAAACAGAAAAGAAAAAAACTTAATTATTCCAAACTTCCATTTTCCTGACATTGTCAACCCAAGTAAGAGAAATATATATATACACCAATTCAACCTTTTTAAAAACAAATTTGTTACCATGAAGATTACATTGTCATTTGTTAGAGGCACCATCCAAACCAATTTAAAACACCTTGAGGCCAAGACAATTAAACACAAGTAAAAGACATACAACATATAGACACAGACAATATTCTTGGTTATACCACGTGGAATCATAAGTAACTGCAGTTTTACTCATATAGGCCAAATGATTAAAAAGCAAACAAACAAAAAGAAATAGAAGAAAAAATTTCCACGGAAATATCAAGAACAAATCAATTTATTTAAAAAAAATACTGCATAATTGCATGATGTCATTGTTATATTTATGAATGTTTCCAAAGGAAAAAGACTGGTTAGAGCATGCTTGTCATCTCAGGGTCCTTCAGAAAGTATATTTTGAAGTACACTGCTACATTGCTGGAAAAGAAAAAAAAGTTTTTGTCTTTTTCTTAAATAAATATCTCAGGTCCTCAATAGGTTCAAAAGACCAATGGGGTTTCGTCTCTATGTCAGTTCCATCTGGGGCTTTCATCACTCTGGAGTGATGTACCCAGGGTTTTATGCCCGCAAGTTTCAAAGAAGTATGTGTACTCAGTAAAACATCATGTGAACTGGTCCATTTCTCTGACAATTGGCTTTGAGCTCTGCCAACTCTTGAGTGAGACCTGATCTTCAGGTCTGAAGGGATGCAATGGTTCATCAAGAGACATAGACGTCCTCATATGTTTGAATAATTCATTCAAGGAACTCAGATGGATCTTCATTAGCTCTTTGTTCAAGTGCAGAATTTTATTAAAGTTCTTTTGTTTGGGAATTTCCTGCTGCAGCCCTACCAATAAATACTTTATATAGAGCCCCAACATATCCATGTCCCCTTCATTGTGGTCCCAGTTGGGATCTAGCATCAGGATAGCCATGTCTGGTTCTGGGGATTCTACATCCTGTTGGTGGAGGCCATCAGCCTCCTCCCTGGCTTTCTTAAAAATCATCCTTTGCTCATCTGAGGTCAATAAAATTTGCACCATTGACTGGATATCTGCCCAATTAGGGTGGTGAGAGAGAAAGTTAGAGGCAAACAAGTTCACCATCCTCTTAGCATCCTGCCTATAAGAAGGAACAAAGCACCTCCAATTTAGGATGCCTGCTGTACTAAAAGGATTGTGTGACCAAAAGTACCCAGCAGGCTGCCCTTGTGCATTCAAACCACTCCGTGTCATATGTCTAAGAGGGAACTGCCCTACTTTAAGGCAATTCTTATTTCCAAAATGTGTGCCCTGTCGAGTATGGGAAGGAGAAAGCATGATTGTTTCTATTCCAGAGGGCAGTGGATGCTGTGAAGCTTTAGGAGTTTCCACAGGAGCCTTAGGAGTGTCTACAGGAGCCTTAGCAGTTTGCAAAGGAGCCTTAGGAGTTTCCACCAGAGGGGTATTGCTATGCAATGAACAATTCTTTCCTGAAGGGTTTAACGTGTTAAGCAAGTAATAACCCTCCTCTTCTAACTCTGCTCTCCTGCAGTCCTCAGGGAAAGGCTTTCTCCTTCTCTGTGCCATAATAGGATCCTGGGCCATAGCTAATTTATGGGAGACATCTTGTATCTGGGCTTGCATAGCTTATAAATAGAGTCAAGGGCAATTTGATTTTCATTTTTCATGCTGTTAACAACTAAATTAAGGGCCTGTATTTGCTATTTGCTGCTGCTTGTTTTCAGTAAGAGCCTGAATTTGTTGCAAGTTTTCAGTAGAAGAAGCAGAGCTCATTCCATTTCCTCTCACAGAGCCAAAAATGTAAAAAATAATATTGATAGAAAGTATGAAGAAGATACCCAGAAGCACAGACTGCAAAACAGAACTGGCTGGGAAGCCACCCATAGAGAACAAAAGCAACAGCATTTGTCATAAACCAGGTTTCCTCAGATTACTGATATTTATAAAACTGGTGGTGATATGCAATGGAAAAAGGGTACTGAGATTTAAGGCCAGAAGAAAACTGAAAACATAAGCTAGGGTTAAAACTGGTCAAACTCATGGTGGTAAATATCAGCAAGAGCTGAATACAAAGAAGAAAATAATTCTCATGACCTGAAACAAAGAAGCTATGTGTCCTGCAGACCTAATGTACTTACAGTGACTCTTACAAGGTACTTGGGCTGGTCAACCGCGGGTGTAAATTAGTCACATTGGGCACCGAACTGTTACAGGGGTCCTCACCTGTGCTTAAAAATTGATTGTACTGCAGGCATACACAAAGGGTTGATAATGGATTTATTTACAAACGGGGAAAGGAAAAGTTACAACCCAGGGAAAGAGAGATACAAGGTAACTAGAACATCTTACCTTGGCTGACTTGGAACTCCAGTAACCAACTGATAGCCCACAATGACACGGTCCTGAGAGAGGTGTTGCCAAGCCATTGCCCAAGCAAGAGCCATTGAAAATGCCTCCCTACTTATACCCCAAAGTTCCAGAATGCCTGCTTAGCTCCACCCTTGGGTCCTTGCAGTTCTCTCCTTGGTACTCCTTGGGAGTTGTAGTTTCCAATCACTGGAGTAGGGGGTGGAGTCCACAAAACTCTGCAGAGTTCCCTTAGGACATCCTTCCCCTTAACAGTATTAGCAATTATCATGAACAGGAGAGTAACATTATTTAATTTGTTGAACAAAATATTTCTTATTTATTATAGCCACGTATAATGTGACAGAAAATAAACATAAAATAAATTGAACTTATAAGGTCCTTTATTTAGAAAACTCGATAAATCATTTCTATAATATCTGTATGTTAAATTTTTATTCAGTAAAAAAATTAGATGATTTTCTACAATAACATCTCTTTGGTGTTTAAAATTGAATATAATTTATGACAATATTTAATTACATATGTGTTAGTATTTTTATTTTTGAAGATGAAGTTCAAGACCTTATGACTGAAATACAAATGGGAAATGGAATTGAAAAATATTTTTAAATAGGAGAGATGTAAATGTACAAAAAGGGATAATAGGGCACAAACTATAATAACTTCTTGAACCTTCTTAAGGGTTGAACTGTTAAGTATTTTGATGACTGCAGTTCATAATCTTCATAAACACATTTTCATATCAAATAAAATATTTTAATATTTAAGGAGCTCAGAACATTGGTGGTACATGTTTAGCCTTATTGATTTTGAGTTTAAGAGCCTGTATTTGCAGTGAAAATGTGAAAGCTGTGCTTTATTTAATATAGTTATAAACACAAGTGAAAGCCTAACAACAATTAATTAATTTCAATATCTTGCTGCAAAGTTATTTCAATTAAAATTGTCTCAATCTTTCTATTCAGACAAATAAGTTCAACTACTTGTAAATTCTTAAATTTATCTTAATTTTATGTATAACAAGATGTCATTCAGGTATGACACACTACCTGAACCCCAACCTCCAATTTGGACTTTGTGTCTCCTTTTCTGTGTACTGATAGAGCTTTCTGGGCATTATTTTTTAAAATAAAGATTTATTTATTTATGCATACAGAACTGGGGTACTGGACAGGGGTGGTGAGAGGATTCACCAGAGACAGAGTGGGGAGCAGAACAGGCTGACTGATGAAATACACTGCTGAGGGGAGCAGGGGGTGGGTCAGGAGAGGTCTGCTGCACATGTGGATCACTACCTGTGCAGGCGGGGATCGAACTCATGCGGAAGTGGCTTTAGCTTCTTAGTGCTGTGCTTTAACCTGCTACGCCACCAATAGGGCCTTCCTGGGCATATTGTTTTTTTTTAAAATTCACTTAATTTACGGAATTATAAGACAATTATGTTGACTTTTTTCCCCCATTTTACTTTAAATACCATGACATTATTATTAATGGTATGTTTTTATCCATTGTAGTTTCCAGTATAAAATAGTTTATTTGTTAAATAAACACACAAATAAATTGTTTCTTTATCACAATTTGCATATAAAAGATTGTTCTATTTGGACTACAAAACAAATAATTGGATGCTAACTATATTTTTTTATCTTCTCTCACAGGCTCTAAAATCTGATCTACAATGGAAAAATTTCTTTTTTATCTGTTTTTCATTGGCATAGCAGTGAAAGCTCAGATCTGTCCAAAGCGTTGTGTCTGTCAGATTTTGTCTCCTAATCTCGCAACCCTTTGTGCCAAGAAAGGGCTTTTATTTGTTCCACCAAACATTGACAGAAGAACTGTGGAATTGCGGTTGGCAGACAATTTTGTTACAAATATTAAAAGGAAAGATTTTGCCAATATGACCAGCTTGGTGGACCTAACTCTATCCAGGAATACAATAAGTTTTATTACACCTCATGCTTTTGCTGACTTACGAAATTTGAGGGCATTACATTTGAATAGCAACCGATTGACTAAAATTACAAATGATATGTTCAGTGGGCTTTCCAATCTCCATCATTTGATATTGAACAACAATCAACTGACTTTAATTTCTTCTACAGCATTTGATGATGTTTTTGCCCTTGAGGAGCTGGATCTGTCCTATAATAATTTAGAAACTATTCCTTGGGATGCTGTTGAGAAGATGGTCAGCTTGCACACCCTTAGTTTGGATCACAATATGATTGATAACATTCCTAAAGGGACTTTCTCCCACTTGCACAAGATGACTCGACTAGATGTGACATCAAATAAACTGCAGAAGCTACCACCTGACCCTCTCTTTCAGCGAGCTCAGGTACTAGCAACCTCAGGAATCATAAGCCCGTCTACTTTTGCATTAAGTTTTGGTGGAAATCCTTTGCATTGCAATTGTGAATTGTTGTGGTTGAGGCGTCTATCTAGAGAAGATGACTTAGAGACCTGTGCTTCTCCAGCACTTTTGACTGGCCGCTACTTTTGGTCAATTCCTGAAGAGGAGTTTTTGTGTGAACCTCCTCTCATTACGCGTCATACACATGAGATGAGAGTTCTGGAGGGTCAAAGGGCAACGTTGAGGTGCAAAGCTAGGGGAGATCCTGAACCTGCAATTCATTGGATTTCTCCTGAAGGGAAGCTTATTTCAAATGCAACAAGATCGCTGGTGTATGACAATGGGACACTTGATATTCTTATAACAACTGTAAAGGATACAGGTGCTTTTACCTGCATTGCTTCCAATCCTGCTGGGGAAGCAACACAAACGGTGGATCTTCATATAATTAAGCTTCCCCACATAGTAAACAGTACAAACCACATCCATGAACCTGATCCTGGTTCTTCAGATATCTCAACTTCGACTAAGTCGGGTTCTAATGCGAGCAGTAGTAATGGTGATACTAAAATGAGTCAAGATAAAATTGTGGTGGCAGAAGCAACATCCTCTACAGCACTACTTAAATTTAATTTTCAAAGAAATATCCCTGGAATACGTATGTTTCAAATCCAGTACAATGGTACTTATGATGACACCCTTGTTTACAGGTAAGAAAATGAAAGCAACTTTTTGTAATTAATATGGATCTTAGTGTAGAGCTTCTTCATGTATCACTGATATTTTTTTAGTGGGCAATACTACTCATATTGTAATTTTTGTACTTCATTTGTTAAAGTGTATAATGTATAAAGCTTGTGAAAGGTGAATACATGTGGGGAGATATGTTGAATGGTCTTATTTTTAGAGAGTTCAACTACATATTTAATTTTATGCTTACTTACTTTTTTCCCCTCATCTAAGAGATGTGACTATCAGAGAACAAGATTGATTTATTTAAAAAAAATAATAAAAACATACCAGAACTTACACATCCACATGAGTGTTCTTTCCTTCAAGGAAGTCACGTTGGGAGGCTATACCATTATCCCAATGATGCTGCCATTGCTCAAAGCACTTTTGGAATTATCTTTAGAATCTCGTCATACTATTTTGAATATCCTCAGTGGTGGCAAATCTTCGTCTTTTGAGGGTGAATTTGAATTTTGGAAACAAGCAAAAGCCATTTGGAGCCAAGTCTTGTGAATAAGGTGGGTGATCAAGATGGATATTGCCATTTTTGGTCAAAAATAGGATGTAACTATAAAATAATGAGACTGATTATTTTGAGTGATTGGGTTATGTGCATGTGTGTTGTCTCATATATACTGGTTCTTAAGACAGTTCCAAAGAGAAAGTTTACAGATATTTTGAGCAGTGAAAGTATCACTGGAGTTGACTATGTAATCTCCAGGTAAGGACATTGATGGAGAATTTGCATCTAGCTAAAGAATTTCTGGTATGTTTTTCTAAAGTTCAGCCTCATTGATTTATAGTCACATCTTGTCCACTATTTGGTTGGGAGTATACATTTTACCCCTCCATATAATTTCACTTGTGACAGACCAGTATACCTCCTAGGAATTTATACATAATTATGACTTTGAAATATATGCATGTATATATTTTTAAGCTTTTCTGAAATCAGATCAATGCAGTTCATAAAGGCCCAGTGAATTCAGGGAGATAATTTGATATTCTCTTATGTATGAAAATGAGATAAAACTTTAAAAATAACCATGGACTGATAAGAAAAAATAAAACTGGCCTAACTAGCCATGTGTTGATCCTGGGCAAGGCTCTATTTGGCTGAATTTTAAATTCCTCATGTTTAAAAGGGATTTATTAAACAGTTTCTAATAATCCTCTCATCACTAAATGAATGATAGGTAGATGATGATGCAGGCACTTTAATCTGAAGTAGTTTCTCTGATCATAGCTCTTCACCTGGGCTATGAATTACTTAACTAATTGTCAATGACAAATATCACTCCTACTTCCCACCTTCTTGCAACAGTTAAAACATTTTATCTATTTTAAACACTAGCTCCATGAAGTAGGTCAGTATCTATTTTCCAGATTCCCATATTTATTCCTGAGAGGACAATTAAATTCTATGTGACTTTGAGGAAATTGCTTGAGTTCCTAACCCTAATGTTTGTCATGTATAAATAATGACAAGATGTCACACAGTCATTGTAAAGATTAAATTATAATGTATACAAAGTACTTAATAATACCTGGCATTTATCATGCCCTAGCTAAGTGATCATGACTTCAATTACAAATGCATAACCATGGTCTAAAAATATCCTAGTGCACTTAGAACACATTATTAAGTTGCATAACAACATTACATTGCCAACTTTTAAATTTCTTAAAACTCACACTCACAGAAAAAAATGTAATATCAAACCATTTTTTTTTCTTTTTCCCCAAATCAAATCTAAGTTTAGGTCGTATTTTGGCTGCTACTGAGAAAACAAAAAAGTATTTGGAAGGAATATTCACAGGAATTTTTTTATGATATCATAGAATCAGAGTTGTCTGTAAAACCTTATCAAACTTTAAAAACTATATCTGAAAGAAATTGTCGCCAGTGCACAATGGGATGGACGAGGTCTTTATGTTCTGGTCAATGGTTTTGCCCTGTTTATATTTCCAGGATGGTATTGCTCATACATTTACATCAACCTCATTTATCACTAAAAATACTAGAGAACAAATGTTGAAAGTAGAAGAGAGCTGAGATCTATCAATAAAGTATTTTAATCTTAGTAATTATCTTAGTTATTAGTGATAGATTTACTGGCTACCATTCCACAGCAACTTATAAGTGATTTGGAAAATAAATATTCTGAAATGCATTTCCATTTTGGTTTCTAATATGATTGTCAGTGTTTTCCCTTCCTTCAAATTGGCTTTTAGTCACAGAGGTGTTGTAAGTGCTAAATGGATTTGTTTAGTAGTCAGATAATGTCACAGTCACACCTTTCAAAAACAATTTGTCATAAATGATTCCGTAGCAGTGGCTTTTATTAGGAGTTCTGCTTTGCCAAGCAATGTAATTAGTAAGCTTGTCAGGGCATGGAGAAGACACCATTAATATAATGCCTACTCCAACAATGACTTTTAGCCATTTTAACTGAGTCGGTATCAGACTAGATCATTTTCCCATATTTCATAGCTGTTATAAATGTGCTTATCTTAATGAGTCCTGAGATGAAACAAAACTGAAGTCATAATGATGCTCTATGTAGATATTGTGCTTTGTTTGTAACATTAATACAGATTCCATTGTCCTTCAGAATGATACCTCCTACAAGCAAAACCTTTCTTGTCAATAACCTGGCTGCTGGAACTATGTATGACCTGTGTGTCTTGGCAATATATGATGATGGTATCACTTCCCTCACTGCCACAAGAGTCGTGGGTTGCATCCAGTTTACTACGGAACAGGACTATGTACGATGCCATTTCATGCAATCCCAGTTTTTGGGAGGCACCATGATTATCATTATTGGTGGAATAATTGTAGCATCTGTGTTGGTTTTCATCATCATTCTAATGATCCGGTATAAGGTTTGTAACAATAATGGGCAACACAAGGTCACCAAGGTCAGCAACGTCTACTCTCAAACGAATGGGGCTCAAATACAAGGCTGCAGTGTAGCACTGCCCCAGTCCGTGTCCAAACAAGCGGTGGGGCATGAGGACAATGCCCAGTGCTGTAAAGTTGCCAATGACAATGTGATACCATCAGAAACCTGTTCGAGTCAGGACTCCTCCACCACTACCTCTGCTTTGCCTCCTACCTGGACTTCAAGCACTTCTGTGTCCCAGAAGCAGAAAAGAAAGACTGGCACAAAGCCAAGTACGGAACCACAGAGTGAGGCTGTCACAAATGTTGAGTCCCAAAACACTAATAGGAACAACTCAACTGCATTGCAGTTAGCTAGTCGACCTCCTGATTCTGTCACAGAGGGGCCCACATCTAAAAGAGCACATTCTAAGTCAAGTAAGTTTCTCACTTTCCCTGCTGAGAGATCCAGAACAAGGCACAGGTACTCTCAGAATGGAGAATTAAAGGGATGTTATTGTTATATTAACTCGCCAAATGCATGTGGAGTGTTTTCTAAAAGAAGCTTGTCTATGAGCGGGGTGTTTATGCTGCCTAATGATTCTAATGGGCATAGTGGAAAAGCAGTTTGTTCAAAATTCTGAGTGCATATTGGAAAGCACTGTACAACCTACTTTTTTTTTTTTAATAAAGAGTTATTTTAAGAACTCACATGAGCAGTTGAAATTTGATGTTCCAGCAGGACCTAAAAGAGTCAAGTTGTATAAGCCTTCTAGAGTAAAATTTTATGTATATACATCTATATTCACACACATATGTTGTCACAGATATATGTGTATGAATATATACGTCAGAAGAAAATGGATTAGGAGAAAAAAAGCATCCCATAGAGCAGTGCCTTCCTCTATTCTAAGACTGGCTTTCAAGATCTGCAATAGCAGATAATAAAATGAAAGGGAAAAATAAATTATTGCATAAATAATAACATTTTTCCGGTCTTACAAAATGACCACCTGTATATATTTTTGAATAATAGATTGTATATTTTATTTTAACAATAGTGGTGCTTGTTTCCAGGAAAATACTGTAGAGAACAACTCTGTGTTTTATGTAATTTAAAATAAAATATTTGATAAGTTTTCAGAGACAATGTTAAAATAATTACCCTTCTAAATTACATTCTTGAATCAATGCGTTAGTCATAAAATAATTCTCATTTCTGAGATAGATTTTTCAGTGGGAAACATAAGAAAATGAAATTGATTTGCTTTCATTAAAAAAAAAAAAAATCTGGTCCTCCCTGGTGGCGCAGTATTAAAGCACTGCACTAAGAAGCTTAAGCCACTTCCACGTGGGTTCTATCCGCCTGCCCTGGAGGAGATCCACGTGGTGAGGCAGACCTCTCCTAACCCACCCACTGCTCCCCTCAGCAGTGTACTTCGTCGATCTGCCTGTTCTGCTCCCCGCTCTGTCTCTGGTGAATCCTCTCACCCTCCGCATCTCTGGCATGTACCCCAGTTCTGTATGAATAAATAAATAAATCTTAAAAAAATCTAATTCAGTTTTAAATCACTGTTTCATAAGCATATATCTGGACATAAAATGCTGTTTTCATTCAATACACATTTGCTGATTGAATAAGTTTTATATTTTTCTTAATGCAAGGTAAAAATGGAGATAAAAATACAAAACTGACTATCAAATGGGTGTTTATTTTTATTAGGAACTAAAACAAAGAACTTCTAATGGAGTCCTTATTACTTTTATAAGCAATATAGTCATTGCTCATTAACCAGACAGTGGTTTCATTTTTCCCTTTTGCACTCTAATTCTGAGTTAGAATGTGTTTTTCTTAGAGTAAATGTGTTTATTTTTTTAAACACAACCTATGATAAGTTTAATTAGAAATCATGACATTTAGTGGGAATACGTCATTAACAAGAGATTTTAAATGTTGTTAGACATAATTAAGCACTTCCAGAAATCAAGGTCTATAGGGAAATGATTTTATCTACTCTTTAAAAAAAAATATATGCCAACAAAGATATATGCTGAACAAGTTTAAGGTTAAAGGTTTTTTTTTTATTTTCTATTTGAGAATAAGGCTCATGTGAGAACCCCACAAATAGTATGTTAGCCTTATTGTAAAGATGTAGGAACTGTAGTTACATCAAGAGTTCTCTAGAATAAGTCAAACACATAGTAAATGTTGATTAACTCTTTCAGATTACTTGAAATCCATTTAAGGCATGATAAAGAATGTGGATGATGAGTTTAATTTCCTCCTACTAGAGGCTTATATATAAAGATTTGGCTAATTTTAACTGGACAGAGGCATATCTTAATCAGCCCCCATGAGTCTCCTGGTGAGGACTGCATGAGATCTTATGTGTGACAGTTATTTTGTAAAATAAAAAAAACAGTACTCAAAGTGAAAGATGCTTTCAACACAATTTGTGTAATAATGTTCTAATCACAACTAGATATTTTTAAATTAACATTACAAAATTCTTCACAAGGTAGCTGATTCACAAAACATAAAAGATTGTTTATCCTTCCTAGTTTTTATGTACAACATACATAGTACTTTTAAATCCTGAATATATGTGAATATTTCAAGGCTTATAAAAACAGGAATCCAAAAAAGGAATTTCAGGCATTATAAAGTATAAGAGCAAGTGAGCTTTAACATCAGACAACACAAATAGTTGCTAGAATATCTATCGAAGTCACTAATTAACTATTTTTGTCTTTCCTTTTAGCTTGTATTTTTTAAATCAATGCCCTGCTTATGTTTTTACTGGATCGTTAATTACATATCTTTTATTTCTCAAAGCATTTAAACTCCGATACAAAATCACCTTTTTTTTTTTTTTTTGCTAAAGCACTTTAAATTTTTATTAATTTTACAAGGCAGTTGTTAGGGTATATTAACCTAATGCTTTAGCATGTGTTCTTAGAAGTGATAAGGGCTGACTGCCTGTCTTTTTGAGAAATCAAATTTGGCCTATGAAGAGAATCAGTTTTTATTTTTTTTTAAAGTGCATGAAGAAATTTTTGTTCAGCTTCACTGTGAAGAGTTTGCAAACTAATTTCTAGGGATGTTGGGTTTGATTAAAGTTTTCTGGGACAGTGTCTAAGCACAGTAGTTACTCAGATAAGCAAAGAGATAAAGAAAGGAATGGGAGCAGGGAAGAAAGACTTTTGATTAATTAGTACAATGGTGATAAGTGATCCAGATATAGGACTACTAGCAAGAATTTATTTTTTCCTATATTTCTTGTATTTCTCATGTTTATACATAGCAATAAAAGGCAGCAAGATCATTTGGATTATTTACCCTTTCTTGTTTTTAATTATTTTTCTTTCATGTTTAGCTATTTAAACTATGACTTTATCTTGTTCAATATGAAAACAAATAATGTATTTACAAATAATTATACCATTTATTCTTTAAAATTATGTGTGTTCCTATGGTGATTTCTGTTCCGATTCAGTAATTGTCTCTCGATTTGAAAATGTACAATTATTCATAAATTAAGTCTTTTAAATATACAATGCTTTCAAAATATAAGATTTAAGTTTCAAAAAGTGATGACAAAAAAATATTGCCTTAAAGTCCTAAGGGGAAACAAGGTTAGTTTTGATCAATATTATTTATTTTGTTGTCTAAAAGTAAATTAATACAGAGTTATGTTACATATAATATAGTAGATACAGAAGCATTCTTACTATGTCCGATTTATTTTTTCTCTGAATACTAATATGGTCAGAAGTTAAGCTGAGGTCTTAGTAAGCTTAACTTAGTATCATATTTAAAGATTGTTGATTTTTAGTTGCTTTGTAAATGTTTTACAAAGAACTTTTTAAAAGTATTATAGCCATCTATAAGAAGTTCATATATAAATATGATTTATATAAATAAATATAACAAGTTCATAATATAAATACTACATATTTTCTCCACAAATATTTAAAGAATTTTTTAAAATTAAATGCATTCCATTTGTCACAAGAATCTTTTTATTTTGTGAAATATTTTCTACTTTTTAAAGCACACATAAAGTAATTCTTTTAAATTATTTTATCTATTTTGTTTACCTGTGTTTATAGGAAGGAATACTAAAATTTATTAACAACATTGTTAACAATAATAGGGCAATTATTATAAAATTTATATTAATTGTTTTTTAGTTCCCAAATTTTAGTATTTACCTGTTTGTTCATATCAGTAAATTTAACACCCAGTCATTAAAATGTCAATCATTTTAAAAATTAGAAAACATAAATTGTCTTGCTATACATGAAATTGTGGAAATATATGGGATTTTTTTCCAAGAAGAAATGAGTCCATTTCTTTTTTTTCCTCAGCATGACTGAATTCCAATTCCATTTTGCAGTGTTAAGAAAGCAATGCATACCTGTACTAAATGAAATGAAGCTATATGTTTTACCTTGCTAAACTATCACTTTAACGATGTGTAGAGGTAGAGACATTTCTAGTGAGTATACATTAATTTGGGGAAAAATGTGTATGGGTGTATGGGGGAGGTTTGGACACGAGAATTTTTTTTTTTTAAGATTTATTTATTCATACAGAACTGGGTTACAGGCCAGACATGCAGAGGGTGAGAGGATTCACCATAGACAGAGTGGGGAGCAGAACAGGCAGATTGACTAAGTACACTGCTGAGGGGAGCAGTGGGCGGGTCAGGAGAGGTCTGCCCTGTGCCATGTGGATCTCCTCCAGGACAGGCAGGGATCAAACTCATGCAGAAGTGACTTAAGCTTCTTAGTTCTGTGCTTTAACCCACTGTGCTACCAGGGAGGGCCTGAAAGTCATTTTTCCCCCCTTTCTGCCAGGTTGAAAATAACAGGGAGGTAATCATAATGATATGTCACATTATAATGTTAATGTGATAAATGTTAGTGAATTTATGGATAGAAATTTTCATTTTTTAAATTGCATTATATTAGTGAAAATTAATGAGTGGAGTTTTATAATAGTATTAGAACTCTGTCTTTCAGAATACTCAGTTCTTTCTCTCCCATCCTAGGTAAATGCTTGTGGCATTTGCAAAATACAATTATCTTTATCTTTAACTTTTTTTTTTTAACAGAAACAATCCTTGTAGTGGTAAAAACATCACTTAAAAGGAAATTATGGAAACCATTATGATTGAGTCATCCTAAAAATATGATGTTATTGAATGTAGGAGATTGAGTCATCCTAAAAATATGATGTTATTGAATGTAGGAATAGTTTATAATTGGGAGTATATTTACATGTAATAGTTTATAATTGGGAGTATATTTACATGTGAGATTACCACATGAATATTAATTAATATATAATTTTATCAAAATGCACATGATAAATATAAAGAAATATTTAAGGCACCATTGTCTTCTGATTTCGTTCAGTTCTTCAAAGTCACAGTTTAAGAAATGAAGTTACGATTGAATAAAATTAATATACTGCGTATAATTATGTCTATCCATCTATAAATATATCATTTGTAGATATATTGGTACATATGCTTATATATCAATTAGTTAAAACTTGAGTTTTCTTTCTATTACATGGGTTATATCTCATGGACCAAAATTAGATTTAAATGGACTGTCAGGTATCTCCAAGAACAATTGCAAACTGACTATCAGATTTCCTGGGATATCAACTCTCTAGTGAAAATCTATTTTTCTAAACTTCCTAATGATAACTGTCTCTACAACTTTTCTAATCATATTCATTCTTTTGTAAATAGGTAATAGTTATGTTCCTGAATTATAAAAACAAAGATGACTTTCAAATACATTCAGAGGAAAGCTAAATGGACATTTCATTTTGTTGTTGGACATGGATATATACATTTAATCACTCTTCAAACATAAACTAGTTTTGTTAGTATGTTTATGTAGGTTTATATTTGGAACAGTATCACTATTGTGATATGATTCTAAAATTCTAAAACCTACCTGTCCACCTGTGCATTTATTCTATTAATATATATATATATATATATATACACACACGTTTTATGTGTGTATATAATTATAGCTCTAACATAATTTTCCTATATATGAACATATATGGGTTTCATGTAAGACCAAAAATCAACAGGTCTTTATAATTTACATGAACATTTGTGCTGAAGGTATTATAAAAAATATATGTTATCCCATTTCATCACACTCACCTATGAAGTCTGAGAATAACTTTTTCCTGAGCTACCTAATTATTTGTCTCATTGTGTTACTTCTTGATGATTAGTAGTCTAGAGGTATTTGATTAAAAGCAAGACATTCTGAAAAGAAATATAATGTGCTTCATGTTGGGGTATGTAATGGTATTAAACATTAATAGCAAATTGAAACATGCATAACCATTATAGGCAGAATGTTTTCATTTAGAACATTACCTTTTTATACTAGGATAAGCAGGTAATTGGTAAAACATGCTATTATTTGGGGGGAATTATTGAGTAATGGCTTATATTGTAAGTTATTATTCTATACGCTGCATGGTAAATAAGATGTGACTACATTCCCTGTGTAGATTCTTTTTTACATGCTATTACTTTTCATTTCAATCATATGCAACTCTGTAGTTGAAATGTTAGCTCTAAATAAGGCAAATGAATAGAAGCCTGATTCTCTTATTGAACTCTTCCAGGACAAGTCCATTTTATTTTGATAATTGTGCAATTTAGTAATTAGACCAATATTTTAAAAAGTTCTTTTATAGCATTAAGCATTAGGAAATAGGTATAGAGAACTATAAAGTATTATAAAAGTCAACTGCAATTAATCAAGAGCTGGTAAAAAAAAAACTAGATAAATCTTTGTTATGAATCTTATCAAGATTTCAGTAATAAGTGTGTTACTCTACTTCTTAAACTATGAATTGTTCATGACACTGAAAATTTTATTCCAGATGCTTTGCTGACTAATGTTGACCAGATTGTCCAGGAAGCACAGGTGAGATACTTGTTAGCTGTCATGTACTTCAGCCCAAAAGTGGGTATCTTCTTTTATAAATATTGATTTATTTTCTAACTCACATAAGTTGTTAAAAATTCCCATTAAAAAATCAGTGTTCTGTGGTAATGACTAAATTTCTATTTGGTTAAGTAAACTTGTTGTTCCTAAATTTAGACATAATTTTTGTTAACTGGGATTTTCTGGTTGATACAAGAAAAATAAGAGTTTAAGAATAATTTTATTTTTGATTTGGGGGTCATTCTTGTAGTCATGGGTGAAAAGAATTTGATAAGAATGTATTCACTCCTATCCTTGACCTCCAAATCCTAACAGGAACTTTGGTAATACATTATGCCTCATTGCAAGTGAATGGACAGTAGTACTTGCTGTTACCTAAAATGAATGAAGCTGCTTTAAAATGGAATAAAAGACTACATATGAAATATTCATGGCATTCCTTTTGCTAGCAACTGATTACTCTTCTTATGTGTGTGTGTGTTTTTAAAGTTTCAAATGAGTATTTGATTCCTGCATTTCAATTGGATCAGAAAGTGTGTTTCCAGAGCAGAATAGCACTTTAGCAATCTGTTCAAACAGCTGGAAGCACCAGTCATTTGGTTAAGGTTTGGCACAGAAAAATATTCAGCTTTAAAAAGTCTATAAAAGGCCATGGATTTATTTGTTAATAGTAAAATTGGGGTCATGTTTTTAAACATTGCATATTTAAAAAAAAATAACAATTATCTGGAGAGTTATCCATGACTTCTAACACATTCCTTTCCCATATCAAACAAAATTTCAATGTATCCCCCCGTTTTTTTTTAATTGATTTTAGGATACCACTCATATTGCAAAAAAAAAATGAACAGATGGCTCACTGGAAACAGTCAATAGCACAGTGTCTGGCACATACCTCATGTTCTGTTTTGTGTACTGACCTGACCTGTGCACAAGTACTGTGTATATCTGCCACCGCTATTTCTCTTTCTCAATTTTAACCTCTCTCCCCCTCCTTTTCCTTTTCTCTCTCTGCCTTCCATTTTTCACTTCTTTTCTTTTTTTTTTTTCCCTCTGATGTTTGATTTTTAAACTTTCAATTGTCAAATGACTGGATATCTAGTTAATTTCATATTAGAATATCTGTGAAAGGGGGTTAGGAAGTAAGTGGAAAATCTCTGAAGAACAGTCCAGGATGATGTTCAATGTTCGATGTCAAGATTTGGAAGTAGTAGAATCAATCTCAGTCATTTTAAAAATTGCCTATTTCCTAAATATTCATTTGCATGTGTTTATTTCTTTATTTTACTACATTGTTAGAGGTGGAATTTAATCTTGAGTATCTGTGTTCTACTACAGATATCACTGTTTGTCAGTGTGATAAATGTGTGTAAATTTTAAAATGATTTTGTGATATAGTAATGCGTATTGCTTTTATGAAATTTTGAATATAAAGTTAAAAGTAAAAAAGTAAATATAAACTATCATAATCTACTACCTGTACAAAATCTGGTGCATGATTTCAGTGGTTTGTCATGTTTATATGTTGGAAATTTATGTGTGTATATGTGCATTTATATTAGATTTACATAGTGAGTATTATTTGGAATAGCTCTCTTTTTTAAAATATTGCCATCTTTAATTTTCTTAATGAATACATTCTTATGTCATAATGCAAAAGAAACTTTCCATCCATGCATTCACTAAGTTTTCCTTTCTATAAGCATTAGCAAGAAAAATAAATACACAAGTATTACTTTAATGAAATAGAATGACAATCATCATTCATTTATAAGCCATCTCGTTACTATATCTCTATAATAAGATTTAAGTTGCTTGTGACCTTGGTACAACTTTTCTTGCTAAGGTAAATGATTTCAGCTCTAGCAGACCTGTCATCCTCACAGCTGTCAGTACTGCAAAACAGAAATGACCCTTTGAAGCAACTGACCTGTATGTTCTCAGTCTTCTCATGGCCTGCCTCGCTGTCAGCAGTATATCACTGCCTGAATGAAGTGTGGTGGAAAGCTGGCAGATTCCTGTGCTCACAGCTTTGTAGCTGCTTTCTGTAGCTAATCATACTGAGGTGTCTACTCAGGTGATTTTTTTTCCTCTAAAGATGGAGTTTGGAACATTTATTTTACTTGCATTAGCCATAATATGCCCTATACCAATTTTCTTCTCTTAGACCCTTCCTAAACACACACACACACACACACACACACACACACAAATACATTAACACAACATAATTTGTTTATACTATCCTTTATAATTATTAAGTAATAAAATTCTAAAATTCTAATCACATTTAAGTGAATTGAGAACAGAGTGGAAAATAATAAGTGATTTAAAAATTAGTGATAATTACTAACATCTGCATATTAATTAACCTTATGTTTGAAAGACAATTTAAGCCTAAGATGAATCCAATAAAACAACCAACATGCTGTATTTGTCACTCAAAATAGTAGTAGTTGATATTAAAAATATTGCTGTATTCAAACATACTAAATATGTATACATTATGTCTTTGTAGGTATGCACAAGAAATACTTATTCTGTAACTGCTTGTTCCAGCCATTAAGATAATTGATTCCTGTTTTTAATAAATTTGAATTCTTATTATTCTGTTTAATATCAATCAAGGAATTGAAAAAATTTAAGCCTTGATATAAAATCTCTTCTCCAGATGCAATAACTATGAAGAGTCCAGTTCTTTAGAGTAATTATTAATATATAAATGATTAGTATTGATTATAAATACATAGCCACATTTAAATAACAATGGGAAATAGAGTTCAAGAAACATGAAATAAGAGCTAAAGAAAAAAACAAATGTGGCAGATATCTTTCTACTAACAAAAACCAGACATCTTTTTACTATTTTGTTCCTAAGCAAAGATGACCAATATTTGATTCTTAATTTCTTTTTCTTTGACATTTCCTTCCAGTGGATTTTCTTTTGAAGTAAAAGTAATAGATTAGGTACATAGATATAAAACTTTTGCCTATAATTAAAGTATATTTTTGACATGTTTATTTGAACATTACAAAAAAAAAGAAAATAAAATGCACCCCTACTGGCAGCAATGACCTTTCGAAATAATGTTCTTCCTTTTAAATGAGCATCCTATACATCCTTAATTACCTTCAGATTAAGGACAATGGCAGCAATATCAGGACATTTTTATTTCTCTTAGGGTTTAGGTAACTTTCATTTCATCTTCTTTGTAATATCTTAATAAGATACAGTTTCACTGTCCAATTAGAGCTATTACAAAACTATCTTGATCCTACCACAAGTTTATAATTTTTAATCCTTTTAACATTTTAGGAAAATTGTTTAGTCTGTTTTATCCCTTTCTTCATAGTGCTCCTATAACTTTGTGTTCCACGGTTTGATCTTTATGGGATTATTGTAAGAGTTTACAATAATTTTAAATAGTCCACATATACAAGTTCTTACTCTGCTTATATTATGTTTCATTTCAACAGATCTTAACAGTGGTAATGAAATCAAATTAACCACTACATCCTGATCTTAAAAAAAATCATTTATTAGAACAATAATTTAACAGCTTGTTAATATTGTATAATTTGAAATTCAATCAAAAACTCTTAGAAATATGTCAGTTTTTAGAGTAAGTAACTTAACATTAAAATAATGTATTCTAAACTTACTATTTCTAAAATTAAGCCAGTTATACTGTCAATTACATGATTCTTCTAGGTATTTTGAATTTTATATATTTTATCACTTATTGAAGTTTGAAATTTGTTAAAATATATTTTTTTCTAACATAGGAGACATCTTATTTGAAAATAAATAAACTTGATTGATAATTTCATTTCTCCAAAGCGATTCTCTAACCCCCCAGTAGAAAGAAATTTAGATAGATCACAATGTAATTTAAAGAGACAGCAATGTCTGTGTACTAGTTGTTTCCAAGATAATCATTTTTACAACTGAGATACATATATACTGACATATTTCAATATTGTATAAATCCCTTGCTCAATAATTTGCCATTGATAACGTTATTCTACAAACCAAAGCAAAGGAAAATAACATCCACAATTTAATCTTTACTTGCACAACTGTTTTATGTTATTTCAAAAAATGAGAGTTTGTATATATATATATATATATATTTACCAGTATAATGTTTTGAGAGCTATATTTTAGGAACTGTGAGCATTTCTAGCTTGTCTTCAAAGATATGCCTTATATTTTATAAACAAGCAGCTCCTGCCTGGGCGCTTACAGGTCCGTAAGCTCTGCATTGCTTGTTCTATGACCTTATTAGCTATTTGTTGTTTTTTCTTTTTTTCTTTTTCTTTTTTTTGCAGAGGCTGGAGTTAATCTGAAGAGCACTACTTCTCTTTATCCTGAAAAAAAAGTCACCACTGATATTTTTAATGGATAAAATTGAAAAAAAAATGTTTAAAATCACAAAGATTAGTTGTTGAACTGGTGTCCCGGAAGAAATTGTCCAGAGAAGCCGAAGCAGAAGTCTCCGATGCGGGCAGAAATGGCTCCATCAGACCACGGTTCATCCCCTTTTAAAACCAATTTTTTTTTTCTTTTTCTTCTGACCTACAAGATTTTTGTTTATTTTTTATTTAATTTTTTTAAGAAGAAAGAAAAAAGCCTACATTGGCATCGAGTTCTGTATCAATCCATGTTACATTACCATCCATGATTTAAGACTGTAGAATCTTGAATAATCTATATCACTTTACCAATAAATGTTTTACTATGACAGACTTTGCACATTGCCTGATTTGTGGAAATACAAATTTGTTCTAATATGAGTGGTAAAATGGTGATTGCAATAACCAATAATATTTTACATTTATGTAGTACAGACATCTTAAGGGCTCACAACTTACTTGATAATACCAAACTATTTCTTCCATGACTGAAGTGAACCCACTTCTGTGGGAGAGCAGTTCAGCAATTTAAACAACTTTACAGCAATTTTATGCCTCAGGGTCAAACATTGTGGTGAGCGAGCCCTTACTCTGTGGAAATTCAGAAAACTTCAAGGTATGCATAGGATATAGAATTGACTTATTGTTTTGTTTTTTTTTTTAAGAACTAGGGTAATATAAATTTAACAGGTTCTAGGCTATGTTTCCTTGTAAGTAGCCACTTTTCCAATTTTTCAGTTTTTCACATTTACAAGGTAAATAAAGAACATGTGTCTGACTAACACCAGCACAAGAGGATGTATTTCTGATGCCTAATAAATGTAAAATTTTATTTGAGCAGCATTCAAGCCTAGCACTTAGGAGATGTCAAGCAGGTGTGAGTTCAAATTCTATAATTAGATTTGGTCTTAAACTCTCTTGAGTGGTATATCATAAAATCTGAAAATACATGTAAATTTGTCATTGTGCTTGATGTAAGCAGTACATTCAATTAAAATATTATTAATAACAACATCACTAATTGAATTTAGATTCAGACATTAGAAGTTATATTTTTGTCCACTAGCAGTTTTGGTGGTTTTCAATTATTAAAGACAATATGTAATTTAAAACTTGATTGAAACTAAAAGAAGGATAATTTGTCTCTTAAGAAATGTAGGTTAATCTGTTAATTATTCCATATCTCTTACAGTATTATAGCTATCTAATCAGCCAGAGAGTTTATAGAATTTGTCACTGGAATCTAGTGAAGAGCCTGTGTACACTAGATGTGCACACACACACATGTGCACTCATACTCTCCCAGACATGCAAAATGCATGACTGAAACAGACCTAACAGGTTTGAGTTAAAATGCTTTAGTTAAATGGTGACCCTGTGCACATGACTTTAGAGCTCTAGTTGGTTCTTCACTTGACAAATCTAAAACCCTATGGCAGTCCTGGGTAAGTATGGGATATGCATGGATAAATGTCTACAGTGACAGGAGAATATTTGAATATAAACATTGCCTCTATGAATATTTTCCTGTTGTCATATGACTTTTCTCCTCAAATATAAAATATCAGGAACATGAGATCTTTCTTGGGTCTCAGCAGAGTTTAACTTTTTCAGAGCCATCTTGAGAAAAGCTGGAACTTTTCTTCAAGACATTCAATTTGTTCTTAAATGCTTCCTCTTTTGTGGGCTCCTGTCTTGTTTTTCTTGATGATGACAGCACAACCTGACCTTTTACCCCTTGAGGATGTCCACTCTACTATATTCCAATGAACACAATTTTTAATTATGCTTAATCACTTCAAGTATTCTCCCTAGATCACTTATATTTAAATATAAAATGTCCATTTGTGCACGCAATCAGATACTATCAGGCAATCATTTTTCTTTTTTTAAATGTTACTTGTAGTTATGAGGAAAACTAAGGCTCTGACTCTGTGTGTTATAAGCAAATGTTTTTCCTGACAGATATTTACTTACTATGAGATTAAGAGAACCCAGTATACCCCTCCATAGTGGAGGGATTAATGATTATTCACAAATAAAAATGTGATAAAATAATACTTTCAATATAAGTAAAAAGAATTTCAGTCGAGCTTACTGTCATATTTGTGATGCAATGGATGGTAAAATGTTTTACATGTAACATTATTATGCATATTTTGAAAACTACTCACATTTTTCTTGTTGCCTTATATTCATGAGTAAATTTTGAAGTAATATAACTACACATATATGTACTGTAATAAGTATAAAAATTTATAATTCCATTTCTGACATATAATTTATATCAAGTACATACACAAGAAAATCAAATAAAGGTGTTGTTAATGCAATATACCTATAGCTTGTGAGAGAGAAGAATGGACTGAAAATTATTACAGTGAATATTTTGAAAATCTACAGTCATGATATTGAAACACAATTTGTAGAATCAAAGATTAGTAATAAAACATTGCAATAATTTAAAAGGAATAGCTTACACATGGAAAGAACACTCAACTAAATTTACTTATAATTTGGTAACTTTCACATTGGTGTAAACAAGTTTTCATTGTTGGTGAAATTACACATCCCAGTACATACATATGGAGTGTTTGATGACACCTTCTTGTTTTGTTTTCTTCACAGTATTATTGGTAAACCCAGACTATGTCTTCCTTTACTGTATCTAAGTGTTAAGAACTTACTTAACTTTTGTTTATTTACTTTTTAATTTTATTTCCAAAATATATTTATACTGACTTCCTATACATCTACTTATCAAATGATGTGTGTCTGTGTCTATGTTGTGTGCATACCAAGGCATGGGTGATTTTAAAATTCAAGTGATGCAGACTATTATATTTAAACAAAGTAATGTCCATAGGACTTTATTCTTTCATTTAGTATGTAATTATCATATATAGGGAAACTATTTCCATTAAATATTTTTATTATAGAAAATACAGCAAAATTGACGGGGTATTAATTGTTTTCATGATTTTATGAACCTGTTACCAATATCTACTTATAAAATATTTTTATTATCTAAAAATATAAATTCTATACCGTTGATATCCATTTTTTCACACAGAGCTAGTGTTAAACTCTAGTCAACTTTCTCTGAGGAATTTGCCAATTCCATTATATTTCATATAAAAAGGATCAGGAAATAGTTGTCATTTTGTCACAAAATGGTCTAAGTACATTTACCATAATATTTCTGAGGTTCATCCATATTGAATCATCCAGCAGAATATTGTTTTTGTTTGTTTGTCTGAAAGATACGCTATCACATTTGTATGGCACACTCTGTTGACAGACATTTGTGTTGTATACACATTCTGGGCACTCTGAATAGTGCTATAGAGAATATTTGTATACAAATATGCATATTTAATTTTCATTTTTCAGTTCTTTATATACTCAAAAATGGAATCTCTAAAAAAATAATTATTTCTTCATATATAATATTTTGTTGACTTGCCATTCATTTAATAACTATTATCAACTCACCTCCCCTAAAGGCTGACACCATTTTACAGTCACTCCAGTAATATGAAAGCATTTTGGTTGCAATTTCTCGATATTTTTAATTTTTTAAATAGCCTCCTAGGAGTGAATTATCTTCTTGTATTTCCCTAGTCTATTTGTATCTATTTGTATTTCCCTAATCATTAATGATATTGAGCTTTAATTGTGATCATTTTGTGTAGCATCTTTGGATAAATGCCAGATCAAGTGCTTTTCCTATTTTTAAACTGGATTTCCTTTTGGGTATTATTTGAAAAAGCCTTTAATATATTCTAGATATTAAACCTTTCCTAGATATATCATTTGCAAATATTTTTTCCATTCTGTAGGTTGTGTTTTCACATTCTTGCTATTAATTTTTGATTAACAAAAATATTTAACTTTATGAAATAATAAATTTTCGATTTGGGGGTTTATGTTTGTGATGTCATATCTAAGAATGTATTTCTCATTCCAAGGTCATTAACATTTGCCTCTGTTTTCATCTGTAAATTTTATGGTTTTAGCTCTTATGTTTAAAGGATTGATCCATTTTGAGTAAATTCCTATGTATTATTTGATGTAAAGCTCCATTTTTTATTCTTTTAGTCGTGAAATCCTGTTCCCCAGCACCACCTGTTGAAAACTGAAATTTAATCATTGAATGGGCTCACAGGTTTGTCAAGATAAATTGACCATAAATGTATGTTTATTTCTAAACCTTATATTGTATTTCCTTTGTTTATTTAGACATGTCAAGATTACCAGGTTTAATTATTGTAGGCCTGTAAATTTTGAAACACAAATAGGAGCCCTCCAATTATGTTCTAATCAAAATGATTTGGCTGAAATTGGTTTTTCCACTTCTGACAAAGAACACCTGAAATTTTTATAGGGTTATATTGACTACATAGATCACATTGAGGAATAATGCTATTAAAAAAATGTTAACAGAGTTCTGATTACTTTTTAAAAATATTTATTTTTTTATGCATACAGAACTGGGGTACAAGCCAGAGGTGTCGGGGCAGTGATAGGTTTGACCAGAGACAGAGTGGGGAGCAGAACAGGTAGATCAAGGAAGTACGCTGCTGAAGGGAACAGTGGGTAGTTTAAGAGATGTCGGCCACGTCCTGTGGATCAACTCCAGGGGGTGATGAAACTTGGACTGAAGTAGCTTCGGCTAGGTTGCCGTGCTGTGTCCTAACTCGTTGCGACACCAGGGAGGGCCAATAATGCTATTTTTAATAATATTGTCTTTAAATTTTGAATATGTGTATCTTTCTGTTTTGACTTGTTTAATTTCCTTCACCATTCTGTTTTCCGTATGCAAGTGTTTCAACTCTTTGGATAAATGGGTACTTAAATATTTTATTATTTTAGGTGACCTTGTACATGAACTTCTTAATTTTCTTTGTGGACTCTTCATTACTGGTATTAAATGTAACTGACTTCTAGGTGTTGCTTGTATACCCTGAAACTTGGTTGAATTTACTCATTGACCTAGTAACTTTCTAGTGATTTTTCTTTTTGTTGTTTCTATATAGGATCATGCTGTCTGTGATAAGTGTCAGCTACTTTCTTTCCTATTTGGCTGCTTATTTCCTTTACTTGTTTAATGGGTCTGTCAGAGATTTCGGTACCTTGTTTAATAGAATGGTGAAAACAGTCATTGTGACTTGTTTTATTTATTTATTTATTTTTGATTTTAGAGGAAAACTTTCAAAATCTCTCTAGATGAATGTAATATAGACCTATCTTTCAAACTGGCTTTATCATGTTGAAGTTTCCTTTTGTTCCGGTTTCTCAGTTTACCATGAAAGGATTAGATTATTTTCCAAA